TGCCACCACGCCTGGCTAATTTTTTGTATTTTTAGTAGAGACGGGGTTTCACCGTGTTAGCCAGGATGGTCTCGATCTCCTTACTTCATGATCCGCCTGCTTCGGCCTCCCAAAGTGCTGGGATTACAGGCGTGAGCCACTGCGACCAGCCTGTTTTTGTATTTTAAGTAGACATCGGGTTTCACCGTGTTAGCCAGGATGGTCTGGATCTCCTGACCTCGTGATCCACCCGCCTCGGCCTCCCAGAATGCTGGGATTACAGGCATGAGCCACTGCTCCTGGCCTCTAAACAATTCACTAATGTACACTGTGAATCTCCAAAAGACAGATATAATATGCATGATTTCCTAGATACAGTCAATCTCAGAATCTTTTTATAGAGGGAAACTGTTTATCAGAGGACTAGTATTCTAAAGTATACTCTGAGATCTAGAACACTATTTCTCAATTTTGTTTTGACTGTGACCCCACTAAGAAATACCTTTAAAATTGGAGCCCAGTAGATATGTATATATAATATAGCAAAAGCTGATAAAACAATATTTACCATTACTGAGTGGTACCATATATATACAAATACATATATATTTATATATAAATAAATTTCATTTAAAAAAATACATTTTTTTTTTTCCTTTTTGTGGAGAAAGGGGTCTCATTTTATTGTTCAGGCAGGTCTTGAACTCCTGGGCTCAAGCTATTCTCCCGCCTCTGCTTCCCTAAGAGCTGGCATTACGGGCGTGAACTTCTGCACCCAGCTTCTCCAATGGCACCATCTTGACTCACAGCAACGTCAGCCTCCCAGGTTCACTGCCTCAGTCCCGCCAGTGGCTGGGACTACAGGCGCATGCCACCATGCCCAGCTAATTTTTGTATTTTTAGTAGAGATGGGTTTTCACCACGTTGGCCAGGCTGGTCTCGAACTCTTGACCTCAAGTGATACACCCTCCTCAGCCTCCCAAAGTGCTGGGATTATAGGTGTGAGCCACCGCGCCCAGCCCCTGCTTATATTTTCTATTCTATTTAAATTTCTTTTTTTGTTGGTAGCATGCCACTAAATTGGTTTTCTACCAATTGAGTTAAAACCCACATTTCTTTTTAATATTAAAAAATAGAGACAGACTCTTGTTATGTCTCACCCAGGCTGGTATTAAACTCCTGGGCTCAAGCAATCCTCCCGCCTCAGCCTCCCAAAGTGCTGGGATTACAGGTGTGAGCTATCTCACCCAGCCCCCACTGCACAACCCCCCACCTTTTAAAAAAGTTTTGAGACAGGGTCTCACTTTGTCACATAGGCTGGAGTACAGTGGCACAATCTCAGCTCATTAAGGCCTTGACCTCCCAGGTTCAAGCAATCCTCCTGCCTCGGCCCCCCAAGTAGCTGGGACTACAGGCACCCGTCACCATGCCTGGCTAATTTTTTGTATTTTTGGTAGAGATGGAGTTTTGCCATGTTGCCCAGGCTAGTTTCGAACTCCTGAGCTCAAGCAATCCACCCACCTCGGCCTCCCAAAGTGCTAGGATTACATGCGTGAGCTACCACGCCCCCGGCCCCACATTTAACAAAACACTAATTTTGACTCTCTTGTGTCTTAGGGATATTAACATATTAATATTATATTATAAGTCACTAAATGAGCCCCTAGGGCAAATGTAGTCTTCATTTTCCACACTTCCCACATACATGGCACCTTAACACACACATACACACATACGCCTACAGTCTGAATGTACAACTGCCTAAATTAGGAGTCAGTTCGGAGAAAAGATGGAGAGAGTCCAGGAAAAAAAAAAAAAATCAAGATGAGAAGATGCCTTCACCTCAACCCTCAAATAGCTTCTAAGTAGGAGATCAAGAGTCAGGCAGATTCCACAAAGAGTTGTTTTACTTAAATAAGGACAGTGTTTCTATTACAGAGTTGAGTCCTACTGGGTAATGGTAGTAGGCAGGGATATTCCGTAGAATGCCACAGACCCTATAACCTCCTACTCTTTCACTCCTCACTCCCCCATTATATCTTCTGGCAAGTCAACGATCAAGTTCAGAGGCCAAAAACTACAGACTGTCACAGAAAACACAAAATTCTGACCCACACTCACTGCCAGTACTTGCTAGAAGAAAAAATAAAAGCAGACTTAAGGATCTTTAGGTTCTTCACTTCCCTCAACAAAAAGATTACCATCACAGGCAAGAACCAGGGCAGAAAAGCTCTACTAAGTTCTGCGATTTTGTAAAACCTCCCCTCTCTTCCCCCCATATTGAGACAAAGACAAATATAGGGCAAGTCTCTGCCTGAGCCAAAATATGAACAGAGGAAGCTGATCAGCTGATTTTCTTTACAGAGCTTTGTTCTGTGGAATAGGAAGTCATTAATGGAAATGTCCTCCCTCTCTACCGCCTCCCCCTCAGGGAAGTGAAAAGTCATTTTAAATCAAACTGAACACTGCCCCAGGGAACCGTTGATACAGACACTTAATTTAATAAGTCATTTAGTCTCTCATCTTTTTTATTCCATTAAACTTGCTATTGGACCAGACTGAAATCCAGAAAGTGCTTGTCTCTAATGCTATGATTTGGAAGTAATAAAAAGTCAAATTAAGGCAAAAGCATCCATCTGACAGTTGGTTCAGGTTCAGAATTAATGAAAATACAGAAATAACTGAATTTTAATTGTCTTTTTGGAAGCAAAACTAGGGAGACTACAAAATATAAAATCCCTCTTTCTTTTTTGTTTTGGGACAGAGTTTTACTTTGGTCACCCAGGCTGGAGTGCATGGCATGATCTTGGCTCACAGAAATCTCTGCTGTCTGGATTCTCCTACCTCAGCCTCCCAAGTAGCTGGGATTACAGGCACACACTACCACCTCTGGCTGATTTTTGTATTTTATTTTATTTTATTTTTTGAGACAGAATTTTGCTCTTGCTGCCCAGTCTGGATGGAGTGCAATGGCGTGATCTCAGCTCACTGCAACCTCTGCCTCCCAGGTTCAAGCGATTCTTCTGCCTCAGCCTCCCGAGTAGCTGGGATTACAGGCATGCACCACCATGCCCAGCTAATTTTGTTTTTTCAGTAGAGATGGGGTTTCTCCATGTTGGTCAGGCTGGTCTTGAGCTCCCGACCTCAGATGATCCGCCCACCTCGGCCTCTCAAAGTGCTGGGATTACAGGCATGAACCACCACGCCCGCCTATGTTTTTTTTTTTAGATGGGGTCACTGTCACCCAGGCTGAAGTGCAGTGGCACAATCTCAGCTCACTGCAACCTCCGCCTCCCAGGCTCAATCGATCCTCCTACCTCAGCCTTACGGGTAGCTGGGACCACAAGTGCACACCACCATAGCTGGCTAATTGTAGAAACCAGTTGTGAGCAGACCATGAGATCACACAGGAGGCAACATGGACAGTTTTCACTCTATTAAATGATTCCTGCCATGTGCGGTGGCTCGCGCCTGTAATTCCAGCACTTCGGGAAGCCAAGAGTTCAAGACCAGGCTGGCCAACATGGCGAAACCCCATCTCTACTAAAAATACAAAAAAAAAAAAATTAGCTGGGTGTGGTGGTGGGCACCTGTAAGGCTGGCCAACACGGCAAAATAAGGTCTCTACTGAGATTGCACCATTGCACTCCAGCCTGGGCAACGGAGCAAGACTTTGTCTCAAAAAAAAAAAAAAGAAGATTCCTAAACTCAATATTAAAACTTGGGATTCTTGGCACCCAGTTTCTATTAAAGTTGGCCCCATTCTGTCCAACAGCTCAAAACAAAAATGCAATATAATGTGTAGATAAGAAAAGGTAAATCTATTTGAGTCCCATCAGAAGCATTACTCTGGGTCAACAGGAACATAAGAATGAAAGCAGCAACAATGTTTATCTAGCTCATAACTGAATCCCCCGTGTCTACAACAGTACCTGACACATAAATAGGTACCAATTAATATTTATCTCATAAACATGCATTCTATGCCTTCAGGGATCTCTTTTAATAATATACCTCTCAAAAATGAAGAGTTCAGCAGGACACAGTGGCTCACGTCTATAATCCCAGCACTTTGGGAAGCTGAGAGGGGTGGATCACAAGGTCAGGAGTTTGAGACCAGCCTGGCTAACATGGGGAAACTCCATCTCTACTAAAAATACAAAAAATTAGCCAGGCGTGGTGGCATGCACCTGTAGTCCCAGCTACTCGGGAGGTCGAGGGAGGGGAATCTCTTGAACCCAAGAGGTGGAGTTTGTAGTGACCCAAGATCGCACCAACTGCACTCCAGCCTGGGAGACAGAGCAAGACTTTGTTTCAAAAAATAACATAACGTAACGTAACGTAACGTAACGTAACGTAACGTAACGTAACATAACATAACATAACCTAACATAACATAAGGAAGAGTTCACAATGAGACCCTGCAAGTATCTGTGAGGCCTATACCATTGCTCAGCTACACCACCAGCAGGACTGCTAGAAAATATACAGGGGAACTTGTTTGGCTTTCCCCAAGAGGGCTTTGAGTCACAACTAATCTTAAGAACAGCACTAGTTGGGCGTGGTAGCTCACGCCTGTAATCCCAGCACTTCGGGAGGCTGAGGCAGGTGGATCACCTGAGGCTGAGGCAGGTGGATCACCTAAGGCCAGGAGTTTGAGACCAGCCTGGCCAACATGGTGAAACCCCATCTCTACTAAAAATACAAAAATTAACCAGGAGTGGTGGCACACGTCTATAACGCCAACTACTTAAGAGGCTGAGGCACGAGAATCTCTTGAACCCAGGAGGCAGAAGTTGCAGTGAGCTGAGATCGCACCACTGCATTCCAGCCTGCGCAACAGAGCGAGACTCCAATCTTGGGAACAACAACAACAAAAAAGAACAGCACTAAACCCAGTAATGAAGGAGAGAATCCTCCCAGTCTCCCCACTCCCTTCACAGAGAAAATGTGCAAATCCCCAATTAACTTACCAAGTGTCGGATCCCATTCCAGGTATGATACATGAGAGGGAAGACGAGTGCAAACTTAGCTGTGTGGATCAGTGCTGGCCCCAGACACAGGGACTTCACGAGTTCCAAATAAGACTCAAAGTTCCCAGGGAGTAACAGGGCCGACATGCCAAAAAGAGAGACCCCTGAGGAGAAAACCAAGTAGCTCGTCACAGCTGCTCACAAGTTACAACTAATATGACACATAAAACTGGGACCCCGGCACCTCATACAATTCTAAACCATTTTGAAATGGAGAAGATTTTTGTTTTGTTTTTTTCTTGAGACAAGAGTCTCATTCTGTCACCCAGGCTGGAGTGCAGTGGTGCAATCTTGGCTCACTGCAACCTCCACCTCCCAAGTTCAAGCAATTCTCCTGCTTCAGCCTCCTGAGTAGCAGGGATGACAGGCGCCCACCACAACACCCAGCTAATTTTTGTATCTTTATATACGGGGTTTCACCAAGTTGGCCAGGCTGGTCTCGAACTCCTGACCTCAAGTGATCTGCCCACCTTCGCCTCCCAAAGTGCTGAGATTACAGGTATGAGCCACTGCGCCTGGCCTTGAAAAGGAGAAGATTTAAACTCATGTTCAAGTTTATAGTGGGAGACAGACTACTTGGGATCTGATCATAAACTAAATGTGCCATATATTTTAGTACATTATTCCTCCTTTCAACATCCCTCTCATTAAAAACTTCACCTGCCAGTTCAGAAGTCATGCCTTGCTATATCATCTAGTTCATCATCTAAGTAAGAAAAGGTAAAAACAGTGTATTCAGTTCAGAGAAGAGTGAGAAAAAAAATTAGGTTCTCTTTTTTTTTTTGAGACAGAGTCTCGCTCTCTTGCTCAGGCTAGAGTACAGTGGCGTGATCTCGGCTCACTGCAACCTCTGCCTCCTGGGTTCAAGCGATTCTTGTGCCTCAGCCTCCCAAATAGCTGGCCTTAGAGATGCATGCCACCACACCTCGCTAATTTTTGTATTTTTAGTAGAGACAGGGTTTTGCCATGTTGTCTAGGCTGGTTCGAACTCCTGGCCTCAAGTGATTCGCTCACCTTGGCCTCCCAAAGTGCTGGGATTAGCAGCATGACCCACTGTGCCTGGCCCATTTTTTATCTTTATTTTCTAGTGTTGCTACCTCTGAAGAGAGAAAAAATTTAAAATCATTCAAATCTCTATTACACAAAAATTTAAATTAAAATGAATTAGAGACCTAAATGCTAGAGCTAAACTGTAAAACTCTCAGTAGAAAGCACAGAAATAAATCTTCATGATCTTGGATTAGGCAGTGGTTTCACAGATGACACCAAAATCATAAATGACAAAAGAAAAAACAGATGAATTGGATTTCATCAAAATTACTAACTTCTGTGCTGCAAATAATACCATCAAGAAAGTAAAAGGACAACCCAAAGGAATGGGAGAAAATATCTGCAAATCATGAAGGACTTTTATCCAGAATATATAAAGAACTCTTACAACTCAATTAATAAAATGACAAATGGATCTGAATAGACCTCTTTCCAAGGAAGATAAATAAACGGCCAATCAGTTCATGAACAGATGCTTAACATCATTAGCCATTAGACAAATGCAAATCAAAACCATAATGATATAATATAAATACTATGTGTACATATTTGGAAGATTATTTCCTTATGTGAAAGAACAAGTATGAATACTTTAATGTCTGACAGGGCTACATTATTTGTTGGGGCTCAGTGACTATCAACCACCAATGACTGACAAATCAAGTATAACAAATATAAAACTCAAATCAGAAATAAGATGTTATCTTGGCTGGTGCAGTGGCTCATGCCTGTAATCCCAACACTTTGGGAGGCCGAGGTGGGCAGATTATTTGAGGTGAGGAGTTCAAGCAGCCTGGGCAACATGGTGAAACCCCATCTCTACTAAAAATACAAAAATTCGCCAGTTGTGGTGGCACACGCCTATAGTCCCAGCTACTCGGGAGGCTGAGGCAGGAGAAACCCTTGAACCCAGGAGGCGGAGGTTGCAGTGAGCTGAGATCGCACCACTGCACTCCAGCCTGGGCAATAGAGTGAGGCTCCATCTCAAAAAACAAAACACAAACACAAACACACACACACACAAAGAAATAAGACGTCATCTGTAAAATGGGAATAAAATTTTAAAAAAAAAGAAAAAGAAAAAAGTAAGAGGCCAGTTGTTTCCTATAATCACCAAAAAATATTTTGGGGAAGCAAACAAGAGTACCCACACCACAACTCCCAGAGACCCTGATTTGACAGTTTGGGATCATTGCTAGAAATGTGGTTTTCAAACTATACCAAGCTGCCCTGGGGTACCACAGCAAACTCACAGGTCCTACAGGATACTTTACATATTCAAATGAACCACAGTGATACTTAACATCTGTTGGTCATCATGTGAACCACTACTAGCTCAAGATAGTTCGGTTTCAACATTAGATGTTAGATTTCTTACAATGATCACATCTTTGCAAAGCTGGGTTTTCAACAAAAATGAAGCGCTGTGTGAAAATCAGTGTGGAACAAGAAATGAGGCTGGCAGTGTCCAATCTGATTTCTAAGGTTGGAGGAGTTGTATAATATCCAACAGCATATACATCCCATTAGTAATTAATTATGATTGGCTGGGTATGGTGGCTCTAACTGTCTTTTGAATTTCAGTGCCAACACAAAGCTCTGAAACTTCAATAGCCAAACATATGCCTTAGATATCTGGGCAAACTCATCCCTGATCTAGGCACCAAATGGGACAGCAGGCTCATAGCTGAGTCCTAGGGATGGCCACATACCAATATTAACCAACAGAAGACCAGACCCTGATATGGTGTTATCCTAGGATAACACCACCTACTCTCAAATGACCTACGAGAGTTAAAACTCATGGAAATACTAGGATGTGAATAACAGTGTCTTCAGCTTTTGTCTTCCTATGAATAATACAGAATTATGTCAATTAGTTTAATCAATTCAAAAAGAGAAGACTGCCTCTAAATAAGTCAAATGTTCCCAAAATCATTCTACTACTACATACCCCCACACCAATTTTTTCTTTTCTTTTCTTTTTTTTTCTTTGAGATGGAGTCTTGCTCTGTCGCCCAGACTGGAGTGCAGTGGCACAAACTCAGCTCACAGCAACCTCCGCCTCCCAGGTTCAAGCAATTCTACTGCCTTAGCCTCCGGAGTAGCTGGGACTACAGGCATGTGCCACCATGCCCAGCTAATTTTTTTGTATTTTTAGTAGAGACAAGGTTTCACTACGTTAGCCAGGCTGGTCTCAAACTCCTGACCTCAGGTGATCCACTCACCTTGGCCTCCCACCCGCCTCGGCCACTTCAGTTTCTTAAGCTCTTAAATGAAGATACTCCTGTTTCTCAGATTATTATGAGGGTTAAATAATTATGTAAATGTTTAGTAAATAATGGCTACAGCAACAGTCGTATTTGAATTAGGTGGTGTTTTTCTGATGGGTTGAGTCCTTAAACAAAAAACATAAAATGATACAGTGTCTGCATATACACAGAATAATGGTTACTTCTGACTGGTGGGATTATGGGTAACTTTTCTAACTATACATTTCTATAATATTTTCCTTCTTGGCAATATGTTCTTGTAATCAGGAAAAAAAAATTTTTTTACACAAATCTCTGGGAAATCAAGGAGATCTGGAATTATTACCAGATTCCAACCCAGATATAATTAGGAGAGAGATCATGTTGACTGGCTGCCTCACTAATTTTTCAAAAAGGCTCCACCTCTTCAAACAGGAATATTAATCAGTTAAGTCAATTGAAAGCTACTTTAGCCAAAGCTTTAATCATTACAAGTGAAAAACATATGAGAATTAAATAATGAGATTTTCTGAATTCTCCTCTGATGTTCGGTATACTGGGAATCAGGAAACCGACCCCGCTCCTAGAACTGGAGTGCCTCAGGAGAGTCCTCTAACAGCTAAACAATTTCAATTGGGAAAATAAAGCCACTGAAGCTGTCCCATCTAATCACTAAGAAAAATTAAATGGTGCTTTTTCTTGACTGCCAAGACCAGTGCCTATATATGTTAAGTCCTATATATGTAACTGTGCAGGCTGTCAGCAAGTCCTATTGTTACTTCCAGAAGTCATCATAAGCTCTTTCAGACACTTCTTCCTAGCAAGCCCCTGCAGATGTCACAGCAAATGAAAAGAAAACACCTAAAAGAGCCTTCATGAAGCTGTCCAACTGATGATTAAAACTCAGTGTGACAGCATGTAACTGTTCTTTTATATACATTGTTGTTACACTAATCTCATCATGATGTATTCTGCCCATCTGCTTCCCCACAGATCCTCTCTCAAGGTCAAGAGTATTCATGCAGTGAGGTAAAGTAAAGCATTTCTGAGAAGCATCTTCTTTTCTGGTGGGAGTTTTGCCAGGTCATCTCAACTTGGTAATGCAAGGACTAGATGTAGCAGTCAGCACTTGTGAAATAGGAAGGGCTGAGAAGGACTTTTTAAACTACAAATAATCACACATTTTCTGAGAGGTATAAGATTAACTATTCTGATTATTAATGTAAATAATAATCAACACCAAGCCTGTACTAGGAATTTCATATACAGTATTTAATTTTCATAATCCTTAACAGGCATTAAGTAGAAAAAGAAATGATAATGTAGCAGACTGAAAAGTAACTACAAGATCTCTCAAGAGAGCTCAAAGATGACAAGAACTCTTGTTGCATTTTCTACAGCCCAAGGCCTACCTTCAGGCTTGTCAAAATTACGAGAGACTAAAGTATAGAAGATAGATGGCAAAACCTCTTCTAATAACCAAAATCCAAGACCCAGAAAGCCAAATTAAAAATAAGCAGATTACAGCAAATGGAGGAAATAATTTTGACAGAAATGTCATTTAGGCCAAGCTGAGGCTGGATAAACCAGAATCACACATGCACCACACACACTTCTCCACTGACTAGATAATTTGTGCCTTCCAGGTTCAATGTCTCTCTCCTTTGACTCTAGAGAATAAACACTGAATATCTGGTTCCTTGGCCTTCTCTTTTTTCCTTTTTTGTTTCTGATTACCCATCTCCCTCTTACTGTCACCACCACTCATCTCATTCTTTGTCCCTCCCAAGAGGCAGGTCAAA